GTGGCAGAGCCACAGGTCGCGGAGCGAAGTGCTCGAGATGCAGGAGCAAGCCAAGCTGAACGTTCAGCCGAGCGACTGGACGCTCAAGGTCCGAGACCTGGTTGTGAGTCAGCAGTGGTGGCTCTAGCTTATCCACAAGGTGGATCATCTCTTCGAGATCGACCGATGGGCGGTGAACGCGAACGTTCGCGTCGTGGACGCCGGCGTCGTATGGACGCAGACGCCGTTCCGGCAAGTGCTGACTCTCCCCGCGAGAGCCCAGCTGAGGCAAGGCCAACTCCAGCTCTGCTCGATGAGCATGGTAAGCTCCACTTTCACGTGGAACGCCTTGTGGCGTGGCGTAGACGCCAGGGTCGTATCCAGTACTTGGTGAAGTGGAGGGGTTACCCTCACTCACAGAACTCATGGGAGTTTGAGGCTATCCTCCGCCAAGATTGCCCTGACGTCGTTGACGCTTACGACAGGGCACATCATGTGCCGAAGCACCACCATGGCGTGCGACAGCGTCGCCAGGCGCTGGGCGCCTCCCACTAGAGTGGGGAGCGATCAGGTCAGTAGTTGAGCTCAGGCTCTGACCAGTGGCTGCAGCAGCCAGCTCGTACGTATGAGCGGTGCTCGCAGCGGGAGCAGGAGGTGGAGAGACCTCGTAGTGTTAGGGACATGGTCCCGAAGGAAGCAGGTGCTTCGTGTTGTGCTGAACAAGGTTCAGGCACAAGCGTCTCGATAGACGCATAATTGTTTTGAAACAACTTGCTCGATGAGCATGATCCAAATGTGGATGCGCTGTAACAGCGAAAGTGGTGTCCCGGACGGGGATCGAACCACTGGCCTTTGGCTTGGCAGGCCGGAGCTCTACCATTGAGCTATAAGGTCTATGCCCGTACGTCAGTCCGAGAACGGACTACTCATGGTATGAGAGGGCTGCGCCCGGGTGGATTTAAACCACCGACCTGTGGCTTCCAAAGCCAACGCTCGACCACTGAGCTGAAAGGGCGTTGCGCTTAAACTTGTCCTTTCAAGGACAACAGTTCATGGCCTGGTGGGTTCGAACCACCGACCTGTGGCTTCCAAAGCCAGCGCTCGACCACTGAGCTAAAAAGGGATTGCCTTAAGCTTGTCCAAGCGTGGACAATCGTTCATGGAACGAGAGGGCTGTGCCCTGGTGGGTTCGAACCACCGACCTGTGGCTCTCAAAGCCAACGCTCAACCATTGAGCTAAAGTGGTGTTGCCCTTAAGCTTGTCCAAGCGTGAACAATCGTTCATGGAACGAGAGGGCTGTGCCCTGGTGGGTTCGAACCACCGACCTATCGCTTGTGAAGCGAGTGCTCAACCGCTGAGCTGTTGTTGACGACTCGAATGAGTCAAGAGCATTGCTCTAAGCGGTTTGCAACTCTTGGAGGAGGCGCGGAGCGCGAGCGTAGGTCTGAGACCGCTTGAGAGTAAGATGCGCGCTGCGCTTAAAACATTGGGCCGTGGGCCGACGACAAGAAGTTGGGCATCAATGATGCGTAGGCGTTTGTGAGCTCACGGATCTGTACAACGCTGGTGTGAGGTGTAGTAACCTCCGCCGTCTTAACAAGACGTGACCTCGCTGAGGAGAGTTTCGAGAACGGAATGTTCTCATCTTAGTGGGGGAGAGTGTAACGGGGTTACATGGTGCGGAACACACAGGGGTACGAAGTACCCGGAGAGTTAACAAACTCTCAGTACATAAGTTGGAGAGTTAACAAGGTCTCTCAGTACGTTGGCCGAAAGCCACACGTTATGCATTTGATTAGGTTTAGCTATGCTAGATGGTTAAACAGATACATTGACCCCTAGGCGGCTTGGCCGCAATAATAGTAAATAAAACACTTCTGGTTTTGAAGCATAAAAGTTAGAGTATTAACTTTGAGCCCTGGTCTTGGGCTGTAAGATCCTTTGGATAAGGAACTTAGTATTAGTGACTCTAAGTCGAACGACGCTAAAGCTACGGCAGCCCCGCTGCAGATATCAAATTTGGCAGATATTAAGTATTACGCACATTAAGCAAGGGGACGAACTTAGTGGATACTTGGCGGTACTATTTTTGATAAATTATTAATTTTCTCAGGTGCTTCGAAATGATCGTTGAATTGCACTTTAGTGACGTCACAAATCATTCATACTTTAAAAGATTGATCAATTCTAAGCAAAAACACCTGTTTTGGACAGATCCCAGCATTTACTTTATTCTAATATGTGTTTTGAATAATGAACGCAGTTAAATTTCCAAAATTCTGTCTAAACACCAAAATTACTCATTATTAATTAGTCATGGTATGACTAATTAGAGTAAACAGTATCCCGATATTTATCTGATCTTAGTCTACGAGTCGTATTTACGGGACGTCGTATGTTTTAAGGTGATCACTCTCAGCGATCGCCACAAATCACCACGCCATCCTCCTGTGCAGCCAGTTTACTTCTTGTAGCCATGTCCCTCAACCTCGTGGAGGATTCCGAGGCCTTTGAGGCCGCGCTGCACTTTGTGGACGAGTTTGTGGCGAGCGACGAGCAGCCAAACGACGACGATGACGCTCTTACGCTCGCGCTTGATGGGCTCCCGTCGCCGACTGAGTTGGCTCTAGTCGAGACTCAAGCTGAAGTTCCCGCAACTGAAATTTCGGCTGAAAGGAAGGTCAAGAAGGCCTCAAAGTCGAAGAGACCTTTAAATTACAACCCCAACAGGGCGAGGGAGCAGCAACGCAAGGAGCTTCTGTATCTTCGCGAGAAGGTCGTGGAGATGGAGCAGGAGCTCAACGCGTTACAGAGCACACGTCGGCCAAAGCGATTCTCGGATGTTGAGGGAAATAACGAAATAGACGAGGGAGACGTCGCTGTCTCCAGAGGGTTCAAAGCTCCCGAAGTGTAGAAGGAGATGGCGAGTCATCAACTGGAACAGAGACTCAAGTCTGAACGCGAGAACCGCAGACTCAAAGCTGTGCTGGAAGGACAAATCAAGATCGGTAAGAGTCTGGCCAAACTCTTAGAAGCCACTTCGACCACGCAGGTTTGTGTCGCGATTTTATTTACTTTTTTTAAATTACTATTTTTCTGACTTTGCAATATTTTTAAAGCCGATGGAGTCGTGTGTGTATGGACCGCAACGTACACGTCGTATGCACGCTTCTGCGCCCGATCGTACGGGTCCAGGGATCTTTGCCGAGCTCATGGCAGGTGTCGATGATTCGTACCGTGAGCAGGGGCTAATGGTAACCAAATATCATATGATATTTTTGATAGTAATAGTACTATTTTCGATATTAAATATAAATAGTAACTCATTTTTGCAAAAGCTAACATAATATTTTTATATTAGCTCGGAGAACTGAAAAATATTAGATACTACATGATATTTTATGATATTTTCCCACTTAAGTACGTTTCTTGCCAGCTTACCTCTGTGAACCGAGCGGAGCCAAATAACTTTTTCGATCAGGTTCTAGAAAAGCAGTAGGCTTTAAGACTGACGAGTATTTGCTCTAGTATTTCACTGTGACACAGACAAAGGCGATCGAGATGGAAAACTGCAAACGCTTGCAGCTGTTTAACGTTGATAGAGCGAAATCAAGACATTTGTTCTTGTTCTCTTCCGATCTCCTCGTCGACATCGTGCGTCTAATAAACCTGCTGCCTGTGGCGCTAGATTAATGCGCTCAGCAGTGCCCACACACAACGCCAACCTTGCCGTCACTCACAATTGTCCCGGTACTCACGGTTGATTAGTAATACTTCAGCTAGTCGAGCGTTAACGACATTCTGATTAGTTAATGTAGCCCGATTACGCAATCATTGAAAAATATAATATCGTATTAACTAATATTAAGTTGATATTTAATAATATCATATTGTCTCAAAAGAAAATATTAGGTGATATTTTTTATATTAACTGGTCTACAGGTGATATTTTCACAATATTAACTTCACCGATTTTGGAGTTACCATTAACCCCTGACCGTGAGGGATGTCTTCCGAGCTAACGGATTGGGAGAAATGGAATCATCATTCAGTGACGCAAAAATGCGGCTGGGTCCTGATGGCGTCTACATGGAGATCTTTGCCAACAAGGTGCTGCCCTTCGATGTGGCGTCTACAGGAACTGCAGCGTGGCAATACTTTGCCAAGTCGATGGAGCACATGCCCTTCCGTTTCTTCTACCAGAAAGACCCACAGGTGCGAAGATTTACCGGAAAATATTGTGAATCCGGAATACTAACGTGATATTTGCTGTAAAATATAGAATTTGGAGACAACAGATGACACGATTGTCGAAAGTTTCGGTATGGAATTACACGCCAACGGCACCCAAGCCGATTTCCGCGTCAAGGAAGTTTTACGTCGCTACGTGGACGAAGATCGCGTGGTGATCGTGTGGCGGTCGTTCATTGACCCCGTCGAGTTCTCTGGCGCACCACTACGCGGAGCAGAATTCCGAGAGAAAGGGTATATTGTCATTCGTCGTCCACGTGGGATGGCCGAGAACTATGCTCTGCTTCAGACGTGCTATCTTATCCACCCAGAGGCCCCTGTGCACTCGCTGACCGATGATGGTGCGATCACTGGCGCGCTGACCGATTTCGTTCTCAGCGGAACGGCTGCAAACATTGCTGCCGGACACCAAATGATCGAGAACATCCTGTTCAACGAGGCCATGAAGACCCACAGTCGTGTCTAAGTGGTGAGTTTTAAGTTACGTAGGCGTAGGAAACATTTGCATTTTTGTGCACTTGTAATTACATTTTTTTATGGATCTTGGTTATCTTTGCTGGGGTTTTCTAATATTTTGTGCTCTGGTGAAGCAACTCGTGTTGCTATTGGTCAATTTGAAGTTCAACTGGTAAAAAGATGGTCGTCATTTCGTCAATTGACGATTTACCCAGCAAAGGAAGCATACAAATTTCAAGCTTAACTCACAAACACAGGGGAATGGCTCCAAAAAGTTGCAAGTCAAAAAGAACGCAAACAGGCAACGGAGACGATGACAATCGCACTTGAGGACGACTCCGACGCCTTTACAGCGGCGCTTTGCTTCGTCGACGAGTTTATGGGGGCAGGGACGGACGAGGCCGCGCTGTCCATTGCTTTGGAGGGGCTTCCAAGCTCGTTGACTCGGGCAAAACCTAAGATGGTGAAGCCGAGTCCCCAGAAGAAGCGGAAGGGGGACGAGCTGAGCTGCAACATAGCTGCGACCCCCTCCACCAAAGCCAGCAAGACGGCGCGCAGCAGCACGCGCAATCGAGTGCGCGACCAGGAGCGTCGGGAACTTTTGTATCTGAGGGAGAAAGTGGCGGACATGCAACAAAAGTTGCAAGCGCTGCAGAAAACGCGTATACCAGCGATCACAGCGGAGGCGAAGGGGCCTAGAACGTTAGTGAAACAGGAAGAAGAGGACGCGGAAGCCCCCGCTGTATGGAAGGAGATGGCCAGTCATCAACTGGAGCAGCGACTCAAGTCCGAGAGAGAAAATAGGCAACTGAAAATGGTTTTGGAAGGGCAAATCAAGATTGCCAAAAGTCTGGAAAAGTTGTTGCAAGCAAGAGCCACGACGAATGTAGGTTGGAGAATGATGGTCGCGGAAAAAATATTTTCTGATAAATTCTGTGTGTATTTGCAGGCAATTGAGCGCTGTTTGGGTGACGGCCAGAGGTTGAAACGCATGCACATACCCACTCCTGATCGATCGGACGCCAGTATCTTTACGGAACTGATGGAGGGCATCGACTTGGCGTATAGAGAAGTGGACGCCGTGTTCCGCGACAACGGATTAGACACAAAGGAGTCGTCGTTCAGTGACGCAGAGATGCACGAAGGAGCGGACGGAGTGTACATGAAGATTTTTGCCAGCAAAGTGTTGCCGTTTGACGTGGCTTCCACTGGGACAGCTGCGTGGCGGTATTTCTCAAGATCATTGGAACACATGCCGTTCCGATTTCTCTATCACAAAGACCTTCAGGTGCGTCTTGATGAAGGGTTAACCTCTTTTAGTATCTGTTATATCAGACTGATTTTTTTTTATCAGAATGTGGAGACAACAGAAAATACTATCATCGAGAGCTTCGGTATGGAGCTCCATGCCAAGGGCACGCAAGCGGATTATCGTGTTAAGCAGATCGTGCGTCGCTATGTGGAAGATAACCGCATCGTGGTCGTTTGGCGATCATACATTGACCCCGTGGAATTTGCAGGCAACCCGGTGCACGGCGCTCAGTTTCAGGAGAAAGGTTATCTCGTAGTGCGTCGTCCGAGAGCCATGTCTCCTCGATTCGCTTTGTTGCAAACTTGTTACTTGATCTCTCCAGCTCTTCCCATTCGTTCCTTGTCGGACGAGCGCTCAGTGACTGGAGAGCTCACAGACTTTGTGCTTAGTGGCACAGAAGCCAACGTTGCCTCCTGTCATCAAATGATTGAAAACATCCTGTTCAACGAGGCCATGAAGGCACACAGCAAGCACTAATGTTTTTTTTAATATATCTATTTACTTGGTTGGTTAAAGTCCCGATCGAAATAAAAATTGAAGTTGGCAACATCAGAATTAACCTTTTTTAATTTGCCAAGTTAACTAGCTTATTGTGCCATCTTGTCCACAAGACGGAGGTCGGAGAAGGCCGATCGAATGACTTCACGGTAACAATGCGGGTGGGTACGTTTGTAGGCTCCGTATAGCCACGCAGTCGCTTCGTCCGACTGTTTCTGGAGCGTTTGGCCGCTGTTCTCAGTGAGATACAAAGCTTCACTCGCGTGCTTGATACCCAACGTGCTAATCTCCCACAGACGCTCGTTTGCGACTTGAGCTCGACTCAGCAGCTCCAGCACCTTGTAGATGCCCTGAGCTGAGGTCTGTTCGCCCTTTGCAATGTCGATGGAGATGCTCTTGGCGCCGATGTGGAACTTGATCTCGCAGTCGCGATCCACGTGACCGGCACTCTCAAACTTTACGTGCTGGATGGTGCTGTCCTTGTAGTCATAGCGTTCTATGAGCTTGCGGGTAGTGGTAGCGTTCTCCCCTTCAAGTAGGATCAACGCCATGTTCGTGAACGTGAATTCTTCCTTTACAGAGACCATCGAGAAGGCGATCGTCTCGTTTGGTAGAAGATACTCGGACGCTAAACACTTGGAGAAGTCAGCGACGATCTTGCACACGTCTGCAGAGCCCGTGAGGTCGCCAGCTAGACCTTTGACTAGAGAAGCCATGATTAAAAGATATACTAGACTTGAGGAGGTACGACAGAGGAGGTGAATATCCAAATGAAGAACGAACCGGCGGCAAGTGCCTTTTTGGCCCTATGATTCCAATTGGACATGGCTACATCTTCTTCGGCTAAAAATCCAGCATTCGTGGCCAGTGTTGTACTGAGCTCGATGTTTGCCGGATATTTAAGCCCTACCATACCATTGACTTGTGGGTACTTTTTGCATGAAACAAAAAGTTTTTAACTTTGTTTTTGATTTTTCAACAAACACCAATCTCGCAATTGTAAGAATCGCAAACATCACTGACCATTACACCACCTTTCTCCTTCGCTACAAACGGACACGCGGCTTGGCCTAAATAAAAAAATGAATAGTGCGGCGTGTTGGTCGCTCTCGTTGGTCTAACGGTTCTGCTGTGGCGGAATAGCACGCAGTGTGTCATCATTAAAAATTCCCATCAGGTCCCTCTTGCATTTGGTAAACGCCGCATACACATCCGCGTCAAAACACACAATGGCAACTGTTGCGGTCCAATCCGTGGAACGAATATAGCGCTGGATCGCACATAATGCAAACCACGCGGCATTGTCAGCAGGCAACCCCATATTGCCCGTGGAGATGGACGCCATGGCAACGCAACTGAGACTTTCCTCCTGGATGCAGCGCAGGACACTTCTGTACGTTCGTTGCAGATCTCTCAGGCAGTTTGGATTAAATCCACTCGGACCCACACAGTGAATGAGTTTATCCACACCTGCATCGAATCCCGGGGTGGCAATTGCCTCTCCAAGATCCAGTTGGATGCCCAAGGTCGGGATATAATCCGTCAATCCTTGACCTGCACGTCGGAATATCACAGACGCTGCGCCAGTATGAGGGTTTCTAAGGAACGAAGACGTCGGGAAGGCCAGTCCGTCCACTCGCTTCTCTCCCACTGTCTGGATCTCTCCAATATCTCCTCTTATAATCTGAATCTGCGCATCAAACTGCACTAATTGCTCAGCAGAGCGCAAAAAATCTCTAAGATCCGGACAAGCCGCCTCCAATACCTTTTTACTCGGCAATCCGTCAATCCAGGCGACTGCAGGCGCTTGTATCGTATCGGTAACAGACGCTGTAGTATCCTCGGACCTCGCGAATGTCTGGTTGACACTGCGTGTTGCTCTGGGTCGTGGGATTATCTCCACGTCGGACGTGTCATCCTCATTTTCGATCTCTTCTTCGTCTCCTAGAAGAGAAATGTCGTCATCCATTTCTACGTCGACCTCCACGATCTCAATAAGATCTGGTTCGTCCTCGTTGTCTTCTTCTTCTCGTTCCTCGTCCTCATCTTCTTCGGAGGACTCTGGTATATCTTCATTATCGTTAAACTGCTCAGCCGGTGGCAAGTTCCCCCCAAAGTGAGTAGTAAGCATCTCCTTCCAAAACTGATCGTGGCTTAACACGCCTCGCCAGGAGGTGTCAGCTGCCAGAACCTCAAGAAGACTGGCCAAGGCAGACAGGTCTAGCATCGCTAACAGTCCTTGAAGCAGTGTTTCCACGTCGAACACGCGACTGATTGCGCGAGGAGACGATGCGATGTCTGGAAGACGCTGACGCTTAGTTGTGGACGCGTCTCGGGGCGATGGGGGGCCATGGTTCAGCTGCACATTCTCGTTGCGAGACGCCATTTTGACGTCTTTAGAAATGAGGAGAAGGATTGATTAGATTCAACGTGATTGGGTGGAATTGTGGAAGAAATGACCAAGAAAGAATATTCAAAATGACGTAAGAAATTATGTCTGTAAAATGATTGGATGAAAAATAAAAGCTGAGATTGGAGTTAGGCATTGATTTTTTGGGACTACATGTAATACTGTAGACTCGCTTCTCGGTTTTGCTCTTTTTTTAGTGTTAATCTTTATTTTGCATAAAAGCATGATTCTTCGCTCTCTAAAAAAAGTCACTGACTATTGAGGCAGCAACACTAAGTGAAATGGACAAAAGCATTGAAAAGCACAATACTACTACTCGTTGCACTACCAGGATAAACAAATTTTGGTGTTTATGGCTCATGATCTTGTGTTCAAAACACGAACAATCGAGGACGAAGATTGGCTCGACGCAACTGGCGTCCTTTTCATAAGAGACAGGACGGTTTTTACTGAGCGCCGAGAGCTCGTGCGACTCGATCCCGGGTCGGACGCCTTCTTCCGCGTGTTTGAGTATTGTAAGAACGCCATGGTCGAGCGTCGGAGGGTGGCGTGGGATGCAGCCGTCCATAAGATTTTCCGGTTCGACATGCAGTGCGCCAAAACAGGGTGGCGGTGGCCCGACTTGCCAAAGTGGGGCGAGAAAGGGCTAATGGACGAGAGAGGGCATCGCGCAGCTACACTAATCGACAGGTACGCTCGCCAGTAGCTTAGTGCTAGTGCTTAAGGACTAATGACGAATTACAAGTAATTTTTAATTCCCACCGTATCCATGTGTACGCTTGCTACGATAGCTACATTAACGACGTTATAGATGAGAAGGTAATCGGGCAGCAGATTTCTTTTTTTAAAGGTTGCCGCATCAACCAAGATGGTGAAGGGACCTTGGCTGTCCTCAGAGGAGGTCGACTCCATCGAGCTAATGGACAACCAAGGTAAGAACCCTCTTGAGATCTGCGGCAAAACCACGCGCTCTCTCTGCACAATCTACAAGTGTTGAAAAAAAAACTCGCTATAGGCCAGCAGAACAGCCTCCCTTCGCAGCCCAAAACGACAGAGTCTTCGCTCACAGGAAAACCACAATCGAAGTCGAACTCGCAACAAGGTGACCTTAGACACAGTAAACATTAACATTGAACTACCTTAATCTGTTACGTGGAACAGCCTTGAAACGACCCATTAATCCCGTCACCGTCGATGAGATCGCGGCATTGCTGGCGAAAGGTAAGAACCGAGGCGAGATAATGGAGCTGACTGGAATATCCAGATACTCCTATTACAAGGTAGTGAAGCGGCTCAAGCTGGAAGGTGCAACGACGAAGCCATCTGAGGATCCAGAGGTTGCTCAGAATACTGCAATCCCAGCTCCGCAACTCGCTCCGCTTCACCCGCAAAGTGCCCCGGTGCCACATCAGCAGCCACACCGTGCTCCGGCTCCCCAACAGCATGACATCACTCCAGGCCCGCGTCAACATCCCGCTTCAGCACTCCGGCACGATCCTCACGCTCCAGAGTTGCGGTACACTGCCGACGTTACAGCACGCCACCACAATAGTCACGCTTCGGCTCTCCAGCAGCAGTACGCTCCTCAGGCAACAATGCCCCAGTACTCGCTCCAGGACTTTTGGACGTCCTCCCAGCCATATAGTTCGCATCATGCAGCATGCTCCACCCCGTTCATGGCTTCGCCCTCTATTGCGACTTCAGCAATCCAACAGACTGATGGCGACTACATTCTCGCAGCTCTGAGCGCGGAGATCCAACGTCTCCGACGCTCGAAGCCTAGCGGGTTTGTAGGAGAGGAAATTAAGGCGTTAGCGCGATGTCACGATGTAGTAAGCCAGATCCGCCGCGCCAAGAAGACTGCAGCGGCGTACAGCGAGCATGGTTACTAACACAGCGACCACGCAGGACCCTCCCTTCTTTCTACGTGTGATATCCACTGTTCTTGCTACAGTTAAGTCCACCGTATCTTAATCATCAACTTCAATTTCTTTTTTATTCTTGTGTTCACTTTACAGGCCGTGGTGTAGCTGGCACAATAACAACTTCTCACAGCTCCACAATCATAGCAGCTCCACGAGCATATTCACTTATATCCTTACGTCCGAGCCGATGTTCTCTTTGCGAGTTGCTTCAGTGCTCGGTTCGGGTGAAGTTGCGACTTGGTCAGTGGCGCTCGCTTGCGCCAACGGGTCGAGTCAGCCGCTCACTTCGAGGTCATCGAGCGCTCGTACATGGACGTGTTGCCGTCTCGTCACGGGGTCGTGGAACATTTCCATCATTTGCGCCATTATTCACTCCGCGTCTCCGCGAATCACCGGCGCCTTGTCCTCCGTCGTGCTCTTGATTTTCTTCCCATTAGCCGCAACTCCACTGTCGCCCGTAACCAACCAGGTCTCGTAGACGCTCTGTCTCAACAGCCCCACCACCTTCATCTCCATCAAGATAGAGCATTTCAGGACCGCCGCAGACATGGGCGACACCCACCACAGAAGCTGCCAACGCCACCTTCTCTCGATCAAACGCTTGCTCTAGCCATTCCAGCGCCTCGTCGTACGATTGGTCCTTGTACGCGTCCTTCAAACCAGCCACGACAATGACAGCATGGGATCCACGTCCACCCGTAGCAGCACGGACCTGGTCGATCACGTCTCCATCGTTAATATCGATAAAGCTCTTGATGACGTACGACTCGATCAGCTTGCGCTTGTCGTAGCCAGAGTCGATGGCGACCACCTTGTAACCCATAGCACGCGCGTACTGACACGCCAAGTGACCTTGGCATACGACACATACGCACGGACACGTGCTAGTGCCGTCTCGCTGTCTTCCACGCTCGTGGCCGAGGACGCCCATGCGCACGTCACCGCTTCTTGGCAGCACACATAGCCGCTTGGAGGTCTTTGGACACTTGGTGGCGCATGAAGAAGAAGGGGTTCTCGGTAGACGCCAAGATCTCCATGACCCGGAGCTGCAGCTCTGAAGACGACGAGGCCATCTCAGCGAGGTAACTGGCGTTCTCTTCCTCGTTCCATGGGCGATTACTGCGCCGGAGTACGTAGATGTGGAAGTGTCTCTCCCGTCTCGCTTCTGCTTTTGCGTTGTCGTGTACCAAAGTGTAGGAGAGATCTTCTCTGTGCTCACATCCAGTAACGGAGCTCAGAAGCACGATCTCTGTCGATCAATCCAGACCTGAGCGACGCGCAGAGACGTTTCCTTCGCCCTGTTACCAACGGCATGCATGCTTTCCGGACCAGTAAAGTAAAGGTGACCCGAAGGCTAGCGATGACCGTCTTGTTCGGCATTATGTAGGACAGCTGAGCCCACGGGACCATTTAAATTGTTGCTATAATTGCGCATTACTGGGTCGGCGACCGGCTCCAGCGACCCCTTCTTGCCATGTTCCCGCTGGATGTAAGAAGCCTAGATACCGATGCGTACATCGCCCTCTTTCTAATGCGTTGGCGGTTTACAGCAAAACTGTCGGGATAATCCTATTTTTGGTCGTCGGCGATTGTAGCACCAATCACAGTATTGCATACAAACCAATCATGTCATTGGTCGGTTCTGCTCGCACCGATTTAACCTGGGAGGTACAAAGTATTTAGATGAACGCGAACAGCTGCTACAGCAAGTCTACAGCCTCATGCTGCAGAAACGCCAGCAAAATAATGCACACAACTCTTTAATATCACTCCCTTGCGCGAAGAAGCGCGCTGGTCAAGTGATAACGAGATACTTCAGCACTACAGAGCGATAAGGCCGACAGCGGATCGATTTGGGAATGCTGTCGAGGTCCTGGTGCCATCAACTACCGACCCCAGCCGTTGGTTGGCTCTTGACGCACTTTAAAAAGCTCGGCAGTGTGCGTGCAAGCGTTTGCACGCCGAGGCACGTTCATGAGCAAAGTAAGTCTCTTTTTCTAATAAAAAAGACGTACTTGTTTATAAACGTGTCATTTTGTTGTGACAGACTACTCAATTATGAGTGGTTACCCTAAACCAATTGCCAAAAATTGGGAATTGTACGGCTTCTAAAAATGGGTTTGTCGAGAACTGCGATGGAGGATACTGCCGGGCACTGAAACCGCCGCGCCCAAATGTTTCGAGTATCCACGAACACCGAGCACGACTGGGCACAAGCGCAATAATCGACAAGATAGGTACGCTGCCCAGATCATTCAGCAGCGCGAGCTCAAGATGCGGCGTGTGGAGCGAGCGCGTTTGGCCGCAGTGGTGCCACGGACACCGAACACACCTGTGAATGTGTCGCTTCTCGGAGAGCAAGATGGTGCTCACGCCGCAGCAATGCAGCATGCTTCGTCCACTTTGAGACGCTTGTGTTTCTTTGTGCCAACAAGGATAGTGGGGCGTCAGGAGGCTGGCCTAGATAAGACCATCTTTTTGCTAAAGAAGCTTAACCGCTCCAGTCCGGATGTTGTATTCTCCGACTTAGTGATTATCTTATGTTGTCTAATACGGCATAAGCTAAAGTTATTATGAAAGTTTGTAAGGTGCATGTACGAACTTTCATATAGACCAACAACGGCAAGAGACAAAACATTGGGCTTAAACCTATCCCCTGTGATGGACACCGCACCTAGGCAGCCTTTCTGACAGAGCCGTAATTTACCGTCGGGTATTTTTCGGACGGGTCCCTCTCGCTCTCACTAAGGAATTTTCTGGCGAAGATAGCAAGACGATGGAGGTAAAGGACGTAAATTGGAGGTCACTATGGCGTGAACTTACAAGCAACGGATGGAAGGTGCGCCCGCCGAGAGGCATCGAGCAGGAGCACCGCTATGTTCCCCCAGGTGGAAATGCGCGTGGTAAGGAAGGTGAGGACTACTTTCTCGGGACCACTGCAGTGATACAGAACTACCTCGATCGGTTGAGTGGGTCGCTGGACATCAGCGCACAAGAATCCGATGTGGCAGCCACCAGGGGCGACGTCGGCTTTGAGGAACACTAGGTGCTGGATATAGTGATGCCCGTGGACAACGGCGGCGGAGCTGACGCCATAGAGGACGACAACGAAGCTGATATGGCTTTGAACGACGCTGGCTGTGATCAAGAGGCACGAACCAAGTGTGGACGAGGAGACCAAGACGGAGGACTAAGATCAACCACCTCCTCGCACTCCGCCTCGTCCAGTCCGTAGAGTAGGTGCGCTTCCCGAGATTGGCATAGTTGGTGAGGATGACGACGGCGGTGACGGCGTCACCGATGAGCTCGTGCACTCTCTCAACCGGATGGGGCCTGACGACGACCCCGACGCGTATGAGGTCTTTGACTCTGGCAATGATTCTGACGCTGACGACTTCGACAAGCTGCAAGAGGTATGTTGCCACTAATGTTGGATGTTATGATGTCGCTTATGTTGTATTGTATGTACGCATGCTGACGATGCTCAGTTGATTGTCGTGGACGGCAGCGACGACGAGAGCGAAAACGAGGACGACCCAATCGGCGGAAATGGAGCTGGTGAGACACGATTCAACGAAGGGTTTCTTCGTGCACTCGGTGGCAGCACGGCGTTGGAGTCCGTCGCCCTCAATAGCGACGTATTGCGCGAGCTGGGGTTGTCCGGCTACGAGTCCCCTGCATCTGCTGACGCTCATCACATACTCGAGCAACCGTACGTTCCTGCCCAACGCGGTGGTGATTACCCTGGCCTCAAAGACTCGTACTACGGCCCCAGTCCGGCGATCAAGAAGGTGGGAGAGACGTCGCTAGCGCTATTCCTGTTCTTTATGCCGCCAGCCCTGTGGCGCGACATCACAGGGGAGTCAAACCTGTACCATCTCTCCCCAATCAACAAGCGCGCAGACGCAAAGTACACGAAGCATAAGCGCAAGAGCCCGTCGTCCGACAAGACGCGCGCTCAATTCAAGGCTGCTCTTCAGCAGATGCGGGCCATTCAAGCTGTTGAGCTTTTACATATGGTTGGTCTTCTACTCGCACGCGCCATTCAGCCCAACAGGGAGCGCATGAGCCATCACTGGAGCACGCATGACGAAGGTGTCATCTCGCGCGTGGCTCGTTTGGCAATTATTGATCGCCTTTTCCATATTATGCGAAACCTCCATTTTAGCGACAACAACGATTAAAGGAGTCGCGTCGACCGGATCTGAAAGATCCAGCCTGTCGTGGACGTTCTTCAGAAGATCTTCAGGAGCAGCTACGTTCCACCACCGCGGCTAGTCTTTGACGAGGGTATGCTTCCTTCGATCTCATCCTACAACAAGACGCGCGTCTATCTCAAAGCGAAGCCCCACAAATGGGAAACCAAGATGTTCTTGACGTGCTGTGCAGAGTCCGCGTACTGCACCCGGTACGCAATTTTGTTTTTGCTTCACGCTAAGTCCTTATGTTGTAGTAACCTACGTAGTGTACCGACCTTGCCGATGCTTATGTTGTACTGGCAAATTTGAAATCTACGCTGGAAAGAAGCAACTTGCCAGCGAGCTGCCAGGTGTCGAGCCTACTTCCACGCCTGAGGGACCCGCTGCTGTTGTTCGAAATATGCGTACGGTGCTAGGCCGCGGGCATCCCGAGCACTACCTGGTTGCTACAGACCGATTCTATACGTGCGCAGCCCTCGCAGTCTAGCTACTGGCAATGAACGTGTACACCCTGGGCACCGCACTCCCTACTCGGTATGCTGTTAGGTATATTGTGCGTTATGTTGATCCATATGCTGACTCTATGTTTCGCCTATGTTGGATATAGACTTGGATTTTGCAAAGCAATTGTCCCTCCCTCACGGCGAAAGCGCCGTCCCCGAGACATGACTCGTGGTACACATACGGTTGCCAACTGCAAGAGCGTACCGCAAATGAAGGCGTGCGTGTGGTGGGACAATAGGCCTGTGTTATTCCTGACTACTGGTGGTAGCACTGAGCTCGAGCGTATCGTTCGGCGTGAGGGTGCCCAGCAAGTCGAGGTGCCATGCCCTAAGTTTGTCAAGCCGTACCAGAGCCTGATGGGCGGTGTAGATCGCCACGACCAGCTGAGGCTTCAGCGGTACTCGCTGCAGCTGTCCTACCGGTGGCTTAAGTACTACAAGTCACTGTTCTTCGGGCTGGTCGATATGGCCGTCGTCATTGCCTATATCATCTACAGGGAGCTCCACCAGCGCCGCCAGCAGACACCACCACTTAATCACGCCCAGTTTCTCAAGGAGCTGCATCTGCAGCTCCTACAGCTCACCGAGGCAGACTTGGCACAACCCTCAGGCGTTGCCCTGATGTCACCCACGCTGACGCCGCCATCGCGCAGCCTGGCGGACTATGTAGCAGTCGAGGTAGACGAATGGCAGAAGCTGAAGAAGAGCGACGGTACGGAGCACTCGAAAAAGCGCCAGCGCTCCTCCAAAGTGTGCAGTCTGCTCCGCGGAGAGCGCGAGCGCGGTCACCAGACAACGTTTTACTGTGGCGGGTGCCGCGATGACCAGAAGCGTGTGTACCTCTATACACGCGCCAGGCGGAGCGTCAAAGGAGCGCCAGTGACCTGCTTCGACTTGTGGCACCACGACTGGCAGCGCGGGCGCAGTCTTCCTCAAGGCCCGACGCTCTCAATGATCCGCGCGCGTTCGCCTGCCACGAAGCCGCAGAAACGACGCCGACTGGACAGTAAGTTGGAGGGAACCATCGGTAGCGATAAGAGCAGAACAAGTAGTATGCGTTTCAATGGATTGCTTGGTTTTATTTCAGTAACTCAGTAATTTATTCACGATTCGTTCGTCGGAATCCTGTCGGTGGTCACGCCAACACTTGATTGCACTGTATGTCTTCGTCGAAGTGCTGCCAATGGCAGCACTTCGACAAGACCAAGCGCTTCCTTGCCATCATGGCCAACATTACCTGCACTATGTTGTAGTTCGGCCACCATCACCTCAAACCGTGGTACAACCTTTGTCATATGTTTCAATACAAATGTTAAGACGAAGTCCTTATGTTGTAGAATACATGTGACGGGGTCACACAGCACCTTGCGCAAGAGGAAGTTATCTTCCGAGAGTATACAAACTCTCAGTGAACGGCAGTTCACAGGTCCCTCTTTTATTAAAGAGAGCGAAGTGACCTAAATAAGGTAGATTGTAAACTGAGTATATTTATAGGTAGGTTAAGTTTGGGTTTAATACAAACTGTTAGTTACCTATAGAAATGCAATGTCATTTAACCAATGGTTGGCTTTGAACGACCTTGGTACCTTGTACCAAATATCTCGGAGTATGACGTGTCATACTCCTGAAGTGTGAAGTGTCACACTTCATGTAACCAGGGTACACTTAGGGCTACGTACCCCGTTACAATACAACATAGTGACGAAAAATTTGGCAGATTGATGCCGGACTGGAGGGGTTAATATACGTAATGCCAATAGCGGTTTCGTAATTACTATTGATACATGTTGTATTGTTGCTTTAACTATTTAGGTCGCGCGAAGGCAATGCCGTATCTTTCTTTAGGTGCCGTGATGGTTTAATTTTTGTGTCAGAGTCTCGTAGCATTTGATTTTTTTGTAAAAACGTTTACTACATGCATGCTACTGTTTCTTGGATCTCGAGAGCTCTACATTGCCTCACCGAAGGCCTTCAGTATGGCGATCTTTTCGTAAGCAATATATCCAACGACTCTCTTGTCATTGCGTTTGGAAATCGTCGCCCACCGCATACTAGACAGTGTTTTCGTAAATTCAAGCTAGCAGCATCACCACTCCACACTATTAATAGGGATTTTCACAGTAGTTAAGCCAGCTTTAAATCCGAGTGGCCACGGCAGAACCTGCGGGAAGCCACCCCGCTTCACTATTGATACCTTCAGTGATTTCTCGCTGACGAGCTGCTCCAGATCATGCCCAGCCCGTCGGAGCACCGCACTTTTGCAGCTCCAATCTGAGGATTCATTAGGTACGAGCTCGTTGAAAACCCATGGGTACCAGGTTATTCTGCCGGAAAATACTAATTTGAATTCCTTACCGGCAAGGTGAAAGTTTCACCTTGAAACATTCCATGTTTTTGGATAAAGCAAAACTACAAGACGAAATATGCCTCCTTTTAATTATGAACTCTTACTTTTGTGGATCCGATCAGCGCATTAAAAAAAATGGCACTTCGTCACTTACTATACAACTTTTAGTTTATGAAAAAAAAAATACTGACCGTCTTGAGTCTCAGTGTTGCGCCGGGTCGGCCACGTTGGCAACATCTCCTTCCAACCCCTGAGCACGGTGGTCAGCTGTGCCGTCGATACGAGCAGCCTCTTGCACAAAGTTCAACAGCCTCTGTTCGAGACCGGCAAATGGCAACTCAGTGATAGCCTTGACCGTGAAGGCGTTCTCATAATAAATATCCTTGCCGTAGCAGCGCTTAAACTGCGGGAAATACCGACCGCCGTTGGCGCCGCGTACGTCATACTCGTCCAAATCCACTTGGTCCATCCGGAATTCCTGGATATGCGCCCAGACTTTTTCTTGATTTTCACTTGACAGTTTTTCCTGGTTGCGATGCAAAAACACGATTCGTCGCTCTGGATCGTGTTGCACCATTGTGACACCGCAGAAAATGTTTTGATCCGGCAATTTAGCGCCCGCCGAGCCGGGAGGCGTCTCGATCATGTGGAAGGAACTACCTGTTTTAAGCCACGCAAAGCGGAACAAGTCCTTGTCCCCCCAAGCTAGACGAAGACGCTCGAAGATGCTAGGGTTAAATGCGTAATACATCAATACGTTGAGTGCCTTCTGGTGCATCCTCCGGTCAATAAGAACTTGACCGGATTCCTGTTCGAACATGTCGACAGGTTGCAAATCGAAGACTTCCCACACGAAACTCGTGGGCTGGATATTGAAAATGGTCTTTTTTGGACGCCAGAAATCGGGCCAGAAAATGGCGCCGTCGGTCTGGAATTGTGGCGTGTCGAAGAGATACGTGGGGTCGCGCACTGCGAAGTTATCGGCGTCAAGGAGAAGGATCTGGTCAAAGGCGCTGTAGAATACGGCGTACGTCTTGGTATAGAACTTGGATGCTCGTGGATCTCTGATTTCCCGCATATAAGCGCCATATCGTCCCGTCAATTCCCGTAAAAGTGGGTGCGAGGGGTTCGTCTCGGAGCGTTTGTACCACAATTCAACGGGTAAAGTGCAGCCCATACTACGTAGTGAGCGTACTGAGGCGTAGACACTTTGCAACATTTTCTCGTAGACCACAAAGACGATTCCTCGTTTGTACGAGGAAGGCGGAGTTGCAACAATCGGCAACTCGTTTCTTAGTTGCAGGATATCCCGCACTGGAGCAGTCGTGCGCGACAGCTCGACGCCTAGACGGATTTTATCCACCATGTTACCATCTGCAACTTTCGGCTTTTCGTTTGCTGCAGCTGCGGCAACTAGTTGGTCGTTTGTCAGTTGCTGACGGCAACTTTCCATCGAGAACGTCGTGTCATGCACATAGTTGGTGGCTTTCCGTCCGTAGCCCAACAAGGTGGAAAATTCTTGACATTTGAATGCAACGTCGGGACGCAACGAGTTGCAGTGCATTTTCATCACCTGATGCATTTCGCCTGTAACTTTATGCCGAATCTCACAGTATCCGCTCTCTCCGTTGTGTACTGTGGCGTTGCATGCTCGGTTGTTGGGCGGATCGGGCCCTCCGTCGGGCAAGCAATCGCGTTGAGCTCTCCAGCCAATGCACTCAAAGTTGCTGAGGTCATCCATTGCGTTATCGACCTCTGCAGGTTGTTGCATGAGTTCCATCTGACCTCGCACATTGGCGTCGTGCTCGTTGGTGCCGTGTAGACTGCGCACTGCGAGACGTTGCAATTGCAGGTCGCGCTGCTGGATGAGAGACGCCACGCAGATGAGGCCGAGTGCGCAACTCATTACAATGAGGAAGAAGAAGGCGAACATCTTGTTGTTTTGCATGCGACTGCCATTGCACATACCCTTGAGTTGCTTGGAGTCCGGCGCTGGGGCATGTTGCGACGATGAAACTGCCACTTTTTGCATGGATAATTGCTGTCTGAAATGGAATGACCAGGATAGACACAAGCGACTCGGATAGGCTTGAGACCTACTGGAATAAACGGCGAGTGACGGCAGGTGATCGCTTCGCGAGCCAGCGGAGTGAAATTCCACCTCTGCACTATCTCTGGCCTATTCGTTTCAGGTGGGTGAGGCTTAACGTGGTTTTGACCAATAGCTGCGATGTGTTTGTGATCTTTCGACCAATGGCGAAGTGGGCGCAGCTGGTGCTTCAGCTTTGGCACCAGCTGTTTTATGTTCTGGATGTGGTCCGAAATGAGGGCCGGTCTAGGGCATTTTTGGCGCTTGCAAGTTGTCATTGGCAATTCCCAGTGCGTTTTTAGCGGGTACTGTATGCCTGTCCCACGACCTCGCCATTGCTGCAGTTTTATTAGCAACAAAAGTGCTCCGCTCGCAAATGTTTACCTGCCAGGGTCCTGATGTTCTGGTCGCAGCCAAGTATTGGCGATAAGATAATGCTATCAATACCGGTACCAATTGGATCTACAGCAAAGGTACGTTGGTGCACTGCGCTTCACTGCCAGCTGGAGATTCGCGTCTCGTGGCGAGCGCTTCGGCTCATGTCATTTGTGGCCCGCCAGCCTGAAATCGAGGCTATTTCCAGCTAACACGCTGAGAGAGGGCTGGCCACCAGCGTGCAAATCGTTGCCGGGATTCGCCGTGGTGTCGTGCCGACTTCGATCGATTCGAAAGTCTTGCGTGAGTCACGATTTGTGAGCGGGGGTTCTTAATTTGCGACATCGGTAAGACGGGAGAAAAAGGAATGCGTGTCAATTGGTCCCCTATTTTCTCACAAAAAATGGCACCCCTCAACTCAATTCGACACGGAAGCTCAATCACGTGGCGTAAGCGATCGGGTAGGATTAAAGATTCCTTCAACTGGGTGCCCATTCGGCACCCAACTTCACAGAACTGCCAATATTTCCCATCGGTCGCAGATACAAATGCAAATCGACAAGCTTCAGACGCAAGAGCCATCGATACTCTATAGGCAACATGTAAGCCAAGTCAAGCCCTTTGAGGGCAGTTGACGATCAATGGCGCCAGACGTAAAATATCCAGGACCTGGTGGACCAACAACTCGACACGAATTATTTCGATTTTACAAGTACACGAATGCTGACAGGCCCCACGCTCGTCAACACTTTCGAACTTGCGTTCCCCTATTTGAGTAACTTTCGTTTCTGTACTCGCTGTAGATTGTTGTGTTTGGTCCCTAATAATCTTTTCATGCTCGACAGCAACACGCCATCCATGTCTTCCCTACACACGAGTAAGTTGTGCACTAAGGATTTCCTACTCGATGGTTCTTTTATGACTCGACCTTGTTGGCTTCTTCGGTCTGCTCCTCGCCCTTCTCTTCATACCCGGAAAGCCGAAGCACTTCAGCGCCCGCAGCAGCAAACCGCAACAGATCGTCCTCAAGATTCTCAAAAGGAAACGCGTTCATCGGCTTCAATGTAAAAAGTTTCTCATAGTGCACATCTTTACCGAAGCAACGTTTGAATTGCGGAAAGACTTTGCCTCCGTTGGCACCACGCACATAGTAGCCAGGCAGCGACGACGTGCGTTTGTACTGCTGGATGTGAGTCCACAGGATCCGATTATTAGAGTACGTGAGCTTCTCAGTGTTACGATGCAGGAAAATCACACGCCCGCTCGGGTCATGCTGGACCATGGTAACCCCGCAGAAGAGATCGTAGTCTGGGTGTTTCGTCCCAGCCGAGCCTGGGGGCCGCGGCGTCATGTGAAACGTGCTCTTGGACTTGAGCCACGCGAACCGGAAGAGATCTTTATCGCCCCATACGAGACGCAACTCCTCGTGCGCGCGGGGCAGAGAGAAGCCGTAGTACATGAGCACATTCAACGCCTTGTAGTGCATGCGTCGGTTGATCATGACCTGGCCGCTTTCCTGTTCGAACATGTCTACGTAATCCAGGCCGAAAAAGTCCCATACGTAGCTGTTCTTATGGATATTGAAAATCGTGTTGCCAGGTTTCCAAAAATCCGGCCAGAAGATCGCGCCCGTCTCTACAAACTCCTGCGTGTCGAATAAATAGTTGGGGTCGCGCACTGCAAAATTGTCGGCGTCCAATAGCAACACGTTGTCGAATGCGCTATAAAATATCGCATATAATTTCGTGTAAAAGTGAGTTGCCAAGGGGTCTTCGATCACGCGCAGATACACGCCAAACTCCTCCACCATAAGGCGCAGTAGCGGGTGTGTCACATTCGTCTCTGACGTCTTGTACCACATCTCAATAGGCAACGTGCATCCCAGCGCACGCAGCGAGCGCACACTCACATAGGCGCCGAGTAGCAGTTTCTCGTAGATGACAAACACGATGCCGCGGTCAAATGATAATTCCAACTGACCAACACTCTCGTTTTTCAACCCATCAGCACCCAGTGGGATGGGCGTGTTCGACAGCTTGTTCCTCACCCGAAACACATCTTGGTTGTGTGTGTACGAGAAGTTTGGGTCGTGTTCGTAGTCGGTGGACAAGATATTATAGCTCAGCAGACTCTGGAACATGTCGCACTTGAATTGCACGCCAGGACGCAAAGAATCGCAGTGCATCTCCAACACGCGATTCGCCTCGCCCGTGCGTGTGTTGCGTACTTCGCAGTAGCCGGAAACTCCGTTAGAGACTAATTCGGAGCAGTTCTTGTCGTTCTCAAACTCGCGATCGCCCGCCGGCGTGCAGTTGGTCGTTTGTCTCCAGCCGACGCACTCATAGTCGCCCAGATTGCTCAGCTCCTGTCTTGTCACGAGGTTCTTCACTTTGGTCTCGTCCACAGACGTAAACATGTGCGAAAGGCGCTTGAGTTTGGCCAAAACCTGGTTCTCCTTCCACACCGCAAAGAGTCCGCGTTTGTTGCCGTTCACTGCGTTGTTAGAAATGCTCCCGTCCTGCACCATGCGCCCTAGTGTCACGAGACACACCATGCAGATCACAAAGGCGATGATGAACAGCGCCCAAAGCACGTTCCATGTGCGTCGTTCGGTCATCGCTACGCCCTTCCGCTTGCCCGGTGACGTCTCCTTTTCGTCGCCACTGCGGTTGCGACTGCCGTGCTTCACGAACGGCTTCTTGCGTGGCGCATGACGGCCACTTGCGCCTCCCACGTAGATTGGCAACGGCGTGCCCTTGCGCCCGGCGCCGTGCTCCGGCATGACCTTGATGTGTTTACTGTGAGAGAAAGAGTTGGTTTTGGACGACGATTACGAGCGATTTACGCCTCCCTGGGATGTGATTCTTGCACGCGCAGATAGAGGAGAGAGTGTAGGAGAAATAGAGACTAGCAGCAGACGGAGGCGCGGTTTACGAGAGACGGTAAAGCCTGAGGTGGGCGGTGGACAATAGGAGATGGCCAAGATGACCGCTCTCGAAGGGGGTCGCTTGAGTCTGTTGGGTTGCACGAAGAGAACTTGAGTTGCGTTTAGCTAGCGGTCGTTTTAAGTTGCGTGTAAACGAATAGCTGGAGAGGTTTATGTTGCGCAGATGATTGAAACAAAGATTTTTTCCATCTTCCACTTTACTGTATTCTACGGCTCCGTCGTGTCCAATTAATTTGATTCTCAAAGAGTGGGATGGTGTTTGCTGTATGGTGAAAGTTGCTTTCTTTAGCGAGAGCCTTAAAGCTAAGAAAGAAGATGAATCGAATGTATGGGAAAATGCCAGTTTCGTGAGACCCTAACTGTTTGCCCCATATTTTAGGCAGCAGGTGTCCAATTAAGGTATAAGAGGCACGACTGCAATTCGCAAAAATAACCCTTTTTTAGGATGAGCTGGGCTGTAAAGCTGTGCTGTTCGCCATTTTTATTGACCTCTGCAGTACCAGTCTGGCCCACTTAAGAATCGACAGTTTGGTTTTCGAGTCATAATATTTTCCAGATTTTTTTTGTTTTGGACACATAATAATCCTGAGATTATCCTGTTTTGCGTGAATTAATTGGCTGCCAATAACAGCTGAAACTGTGAATGCGAAGGCTCAATTTGCTCGACAATTTTGGGTAGCTGTAGTTTTTTTTATGTCGCGGCACCATCTATTTTTAACGATACATATATTAATTGAAAAGGTAATCCATTTATTCCGGAGCCTTTTTGCTACATGCACATATACTACTAGTATTACATCATATATGTCTAGCAAAATTTGGGACTTCGTTAGACCGATCCGATCAAGGACAGTGTTTTTTTCGACTATTTTCGATGATACATGAAAAACCCAAAACTTTTGACCAATCATACGATATAGACAATGTTTTGTCTAATTTAATTGCCAGATGTTGACCTCATTAAAATGAGGTTGAATTAAAGCTGTAGATTCTTTAGTGGGCGAGAGTGCTATTTCTCAAGCTAGAGCTGTCGAACCAGTTTCGTGCACATTATTCATTTGCTCAAAAGTATATTCAGAAATCGATGCCTGGACTTGAGAGCTGAATTCCCAAGACTAATAGTCGAACAAATTATTGACGAAGTGTACAAAATTGAAGGGGAATCAGCTCTTAAAAGCCCTTACATGTAGATATATCTCAACAGGCCGTCGGGTATACTGTTACATTTTTCAGCCCCTTCTCGCAGAAATTTTGCTCAGGTGTAGCTGTTGTCACATCATGCTTACTGCTAGCGGCGGTTTTGTTTCTGCAGAGCCCACTCCTCTCGAGGTCGGGGGGGGGGGGCTGTAGGAGCTCAAACAAATGTCATTTGTATCACATGATAGATGTAATGGGCCTACTTTAAGCCCACTACTTCTGCTACACGCTAGAAAACGTAAGCTGTGTTTCACTTAGATTAGCTTTACTTTCGTCCACAAGTATAGATTCACTTAAATAGAAGAGCAAAGTCGGATTTCTGTAAAATCAAGAGCTGTCTATTTGTTTTGTTTGGGGTTTCCTCCTAATGTAGTATTCTAAATGATAGGTATTTAGCCAACGAATGGTTAGAGAATCCTACTATTCTAATTGGTTGAAGATAATGGAAATCAACCAATGAGTGCCTTAAACGCATGCAGACTAATAGTCTGTCAAATGTAATCATTGGTGTATCTAACACCAAATCTACTTTGGAACCAAGTGCCTAAATGTAGCCACTTGCGTGTAAACCTGTTACCCCCTGCCCCCGTCAAGCTAAGACTCACTAGTCTTAACACAGCGTTCAAATATTGACGAGACCGTCAAAACGTTTGAGAGCCCCAAGCTCATTTCGCAATGTGCTCGCCAAGCAAGATGCTCACGCAAGAGTCTGCTGACTCTGTTACGTTTGCGCCTGCACCTGCAGGCACCACCACTTCGGTGTCCGCCCACCGCGACAGAAGCCAAACTTTCTGTCGCTCAATACCACACTCTACATAAGCAGGAGTGCGCGTAGGCTACGACAGACAGGCCGTCAGTCGTCATAGAGTGCTCGTCAGTGATGTCTATTGACGGAGACATACCCATTGCCTATGGGTCTGAGATTGAGAACATCCTCATGGAAGCCTAGGCCCCCTCGGCTTCATCTGTGGCCTCTAAGTCGACCGAACCGACGACCGATCACCCTGTTGAGTCGCGGCGAGTCCGTGACGATATTTCGGACGCTTCTGGGTCGAAGCCTTCGCGTAATGAAGAAGAGACGTAGCCATCTGTGTCGGTGCTGTCTTCTTCTCTGCCTACTGCAGGTGCAGTACGCGCTCCTTGGATGCTCACTCCATCTAAAATCGCTGACAGGTTCGGCGCGACATCGCCGCCGAACCCGATCTGATTGGATGTGTGCAGCGCCATCAATGATGACGCTCTAACCGTCGACATGCACTTTGATTCGTCAATGAATCAAAGGCGCGACTACTACATCGGACTCTTTCATGAGCTCCGATGGAATGCGTCGAAACCAACTTCGCGCAAAAGCAAATTGCCCCAGTGGGTGGCACTTTGTCAGTCTTGGAACGCATTTGTTGTGAGCTTCAACAACAATGCGAGAGGCCACCGCAAGCGTATTGGCGAGGCTCGCCTGCGTTTCGAGATCACGTCATCTTATCGGCTGCCTCCATATTGACGCTACGGAAGCGGGAATCCCCTGCGCACCTGAAACTGCGTGCTCGCACTGCCGCCTCGGGACAGTGCGCCTTTCTGAACGCGATGTTATCGGGTACACTTCCGTACGTGTATCTGCTCCTCTGTGAGACCTCCGTGCTCAGCTTGAGCATCGAGATGCACCCCGTGGTGGTGGCTCTCGCAGTGTAAGTGCAGGCGTTATGCCTGCACTCGGTTCTGGGCTTAGTATGCCCTTACCATTTCCGAGCGTTCTTCATCAGGATGTCCCGTGGCTCCTATATATCTCTATGGGGAGGAAATTCTATTCAACGAATACGAAGATGAGCCTGATCTCGACTCGTCTTCAGGGCTTCATAGTCCACGACTCGCTCGACAATCCAACCTGTTGAGCCGTGCGCGTCACGCAGCGCCGGTGGAGGGGGGGGCGGAAAGATACCCTCCATATGGTCAGCCCAGGTTGACCGTGACTCCCACAATCTGTACGATCGTGTTGTTGCTCTGGAATAATCCCAGAGCGGGGGGCTCGCTGCCCTGCAACCAAAACTACGCCTACAGAAGGCGCAGATCGCTGAAGCTGCTCAGACCCTTTCGAACATCCAGTCGCACTTGGATCGGAGCTGAGGCGCATGCGCGACCGCGTTCTTGCTCTTGAGAAGCTGACTCACGCCGCTTCGTCGTCCTCGGGTCATCGAGACTAAATGGTTCGTGTTGCTCGTAGGGCATAGCCGCCCGACGTAAAATATCGGATGGAGTCGCATGCAGGGCGGTTTGTCCAACGTATGTGCATTGCTATGCCATTCAAGTACTGTGAACGGACCGGTGAAGCACGGAGCAAGCTTGCTTGCACCGAATTTAGAGACCACATCTCGTGGTAGGTTCTGTGTAGCTTATAGAGCTAATGAACCCTTTTTGAATTCATTTGTGTTGCCGCTACCGACATTGTCTGCGTTCGACTTCTTTTTGTCTACAGAAGTTGCTATTGCGTCCTAGACAAAACCGTATTACGTCTTGTCGACGCCAGACAAAGTCCAGTGGCTGCGTGTTGAATGGTTTGTTCATCACATATTTTCCTTCTCGCAGCAGACCCGGTCTGTACGCTGTCTGTACCCGTACAGAAATTTCTTGTCACGGCCCTTGCCCGCAAACACGGGTTTGTTGTCTCGTCTTGCTCAGGAGCAGAGGTTGTTTCCCGCGCACCGCGAACTACTCGCGTCAGCTCTCTGGGATTGTCAACGAGTAATCCCCCCGCAGTTAACGGAGGAACCCTACTGTTCCGATGAAGTTCAGAAGGCGTGGATGCCGCATGGTACTCACGTAAAACGGTGTATTCCCTGTCGAGGCATGCACCGGGCTGTTGATGGCAAATTCTGCCATCGACAAGCGGTCGCTCCAGGTCGGGAACGAGTGTGCGTAGCTCTTCCGTACGTCACCGAGCACGCGATTCACGCGCGCGGTCTGTCTGTCCGTCTGCGGATGATCCGCAGTCGCCATCGACAGCTGTGTTCCAAGAAGTGTAACCACTTCTTGCCAGAGCCGCGCTGTAAGGCGTGGATCACGGCCCGAGATAATGTCGAGCGGTATTTCATGGTTTCGGAGCACCATGTCAACAAACAGTCGTGCCGTCTGCACGGCCGTGACTTTAGCCGGTACTGCAGAAAGATAAATCATTTTGCTGAACTGGTCAACAAAGATCACAACGTCAGTCCCCCGCTTTTGTCTAGCGGAAGACCGAAAACAAAGTACATAGTAATGCACTGCCAGCACCCCGCCCGTGTCGGTAGTGATTGTAATGGAGCCTGCGATTAGGCAGCAGACTTGACGCGTTGGCACACTTCGCAAGCACGTACGTACTTGCGCAACCACTTGTACTGGTGATTCCAGTAGAAGTCTCTCGTGAGAAGAGTGGCGACAACTTCCGCCTTGACACGTCGGAGGGTGCTAAGACATAGTCTAGGAATTGTTTCGCGTCTGCGTCACTCGCATACGCGTTCTTCACGTCGTAGATCAATATCGACGACGGAACCCTTACTCGTTCGACGCCAATTCGGTTGACGTCGGCTGCCTTAACAGCGCAATTAGGTTGACGTGACAGCGCGTCGGCCACCACATTCAACCTCCCAACCTGAAAGTCGTACTCCGCA